CGCGCGCGCGCGCGCGCGCGCGCGCGCGCGCGAGAGAGAGAGAGAGAGAGAGAGAGAGAGAGAGAGAGAGAGAGAGAGAGATACAGACGGCGCAGCGTGTGGAGAGCAACGACGACGTGGAGGCGCGCCGGGACATCGTCGGTGCAACGCGACATCGGACGAAGGCCCCGTCGATGGGTGACGAAGACGTGTTTGGCGCGCAGCGCGACTATAAATTGAATGCGTGTTCAAGTTTTTTGAACGCGCATTCAATTCTTTGAACAGGCGTTCAAAAAGTTGAATGCGCGTTCAAAAAAAATGAACGCCGGGTGGAGGGGGGGTGCTGTGCGCGGCCCGCGCCGCGTTTCCGGCGCAGTGAGGGGTTTGGACGGGGGGGCCGACACAAGAGGGGCAACACGAGAGGGGCAGCAGCGTCGTTTGGACGGGGGGGGGGGCGACACGAGAGGGGCAGCTAGGGGTGGGCCCGACGAGGCCTGGTGCGGGGAGGGACGTCGGCGGGAGTTGGAGCTTCGTGGGACAGGCTAGGGCGGACCACTCGGTTAACCCATCGGCGAGCGGGCACGATGCCGCGAAGTCAATCTCGGGTGTTTGAGGATGGGGGGGAGGACGAGAATCGGAAGGCGCAGAAGAAGTGTTGCGTGTACAAGTACATCCGCGTGGGACAGAGTCTCAGCGAGAGATTCCACGGCAATCGCATGTTGAAGTGCGTTTTCTGCGGCCACGAGTTCCAGGGCAACCAGTTCGTGGCGGCGCGCCATTTCCGCCAGGGCAAGGGATGTCCGGAAGTGACAGACGAGGCACTTGTCGACATCCACTATAACAGTGAGTACAAGATGTCCGACAAGTTCCTAGAGCGGATACAGCGATTTGAGGAGCTTCACGGTGCGGCGCCTGCGATGGATCCGCGACTGGACAAGGGGGGGAGGGAGAGATGAGGGACGCGGGGGAGCAGATCGACGTGGACGACGCCGTCGAGGAGGTTGCACGGGGGGGTCGTCAGGGATGGAGCGAGGGAATGGCGTTGTCAGCGAGCCGGGGGGGCAGCCGGGCCAGTACTTTGCGTCGGCGCACTTGTCGGCTCGTGCACGGGCAGGTGCGGATACGGCTGAGGCGGCTACGTCTGCGGGGAAGAGGAAGGAGAGAGAGGAGGGGGATAGACCGACGGCAGCAGCCGCAACACAGAAGAGGATGAGACAGAACACGATCACGGAGTCATTCTCTTCAAAGTGGCAGATGGAGCTCAAGAAGAAGTGGTTGCGGTTTGTGTACAGTCAGCGCCTGGCGTTCAACGTCTTCCGGAGCGAGCCATGGTTGGACGTCGTCCGACACTTCAGGGACTTGTCGGGGCCAGTGAAGGTGTTGTGGCCTTCAGAGAATGAGATCGCGGACATAGAGACCATTGTCCACACGACGGACGATGTGGGAGCTGATCTCGCGGAGGTCAGGGCTCCTTTCTATATCACGGGGGCCACCATTATGTCAGACGGAAGGAAGTCACGCGATGCTAGACCCATCGTTAACTTCCTTGTCGGCGGGTCGCGTGGGGTGATGCTCGTCCGGACGATGAACAGGGAGGGTGAGCGGGATCGGGCGCCTGATGTGTTGGCGTGCTGGATCAAGGTGTTCGATGACTTCGACCCGAAGTGGGTGAATGCCATCTGCACCGACTCCGCCTCGGTGTACGTTGCCGCGGCGAACATGCTCCAGGAGCCCGAGCAGAAGCCGGAGCATTGAGTGATCATGTGGCTCCCATGCGCAATGCATGTCTGCAACAAGATGTTGTCAAACATTGGCTGTTCGGGCCCGTGGTCCAAGGACATCATCGTGAAGGGGAGAGCGGTGGTGCGCTTCATTAAGGAGCACGGCGCCGCTCTCCATATCTTCCGAGGGGAGAGCACTCAGATGGGCCTCATCTTGGATGGCGATACTTGGGGTATGGTCCCTTGGGACCATTCCATTCGTCATTTGGCTAGGTGGGTCAGGTGGCAGGTGCGACATGGCAGTTGGTGGGATTCCATGGGCATCTTGTTCTGTATCATGGAGCCTGTGTACGACCTGCTGCGCAGGTTGGACCGCGGAGGGCTGCACATGTCGTGGGTGGTTGAGTGGACACAGGATCTGGCCCGCCAGGTAGCAGAGGAGGTTTTTGCACTTCCGACAGATCTTGCACACTACATTGTGCAGAGGGTGCAGGCTCGATGCACTCACATGCTGGAGCCGGCGCACGCCGCTGCTCACCTTCTCAGTCCCAGCAGGCGGGACTTGCGGTACTTCGAGGGCGTGGTCAGCGACTACGACGCGAGCGAGGGAGGCGGAGACTTACATCTTGTCGCAGACAGGGTTCAGTGTGGCGAGCCGCGACTACGAGACCGCATGTGCACAGTTGCGTGACTTCCACACGCGGAGGGGGACGATTGCTTGGGGGGGGAGAGATGGAGATAGAGATGCACAGAGGTGCAGGGGCGATGCGGAGACGTACGAGTCCGGGTGTTGGTGGTCGAGGTACGGGTAGTGCGCCCCGCAGTTGCAGGTTATCGCTCTTCGTGTGATGTACATGTGGACGTGCTCCTCTCCTGCGGAGAGGAATTGGGCCGTCCACGAGGGTGTACAGACGAAGAAGCGTAACCGGCTTGAGTTCGAGAAGGTCGCGAAGTTGGTTGAGATCTTAGCCAACGTCCGCCTTCTCTCTCATCAGCGGGCAGGCCGCGGGTTCGCGCTGCCGTGGACTCTAGATGAGTCGTTGTTGGACGTGGAGGGAGGTATCGGGATTCGCCCCTCGTGGAAGGGGACAGACGAGAGCAGGACGCGGGAGGAGGTCGAGGCTCAGAGACGTTCATGGCAGCGAAACCCATGTGGGTCCAGAGCTCCTCCGGGTGATGTGGGCGATGTTTTTGGGAATCAAGCCGCCACGCACCCGTACCCTCGAGACGACAGTGATTCCGAGGGTCACGAGGATGAGGACGAGCCGGCGGGCCCCGCTATCGCCACTCCTGCGGCGGATCAGCGTGATGAGTGGAGCAACCCAAAGGACGTCCGTAGACGGAGTGGCGGCGATGACCTTTTCGTTCGAGTTGATTTGGAGGAGGAGTCTGGGGGTCGCCATGGGAGCCCTTTAGAGCGTTCGAGGCCTACGTCCAGTGCCCCGCTTCCCGCTGAGCGGGAGACAGATCCTGGGTCTGCACCTTCGAGGGGGGCAGAGTCAGGGATCGGGCATCGTCCTCTGGGTCGCTCTGGCACGGCATCATCCACCGCTCTCACCACTTCGACGGAGCAGCCTCATCGACAGCCAGCCGGTGCAGATCGATTGCAGAAATTGGTGAGGGGCCCGAGACAGCGATTGGAGGATAGATTGGAGGGCGGTCCTATGCCGGTGCAGGGTGACGACGGAGACAGACAGGGGTTGGTTGGTGGAGATGGTGGTGCGCTGGCCGGAGGTGGAGGCGGTGTCGAGGTTGATGCGGCGGTTGAGGGGATACAGATGGGCGGCGGATGCGGTTTCAGTGAGTTTGGCGATATGGGTATGCCCCCGGGAGAGAGCGTGGGTCTAGCCCGAGGAGAGAGCGAGTTCCGTGGGGACATCAGTGTGGGTATGCAGGACTTACTGGGACAGATCAGCTCCGTGGACCCGAGTAGTTTCTCCCCTACCATGCGCACAGAGGTGATGCTGGGGGCAGAGGGGGATGAGGACCGGACACCCCCTGGAGAGACATCTGCAGAGAGGCTGGATAGGCTTGATAGTCGTCGAGCGTACCTCTTGGCACAGAGGGACCCCAGGACGCAGGAGCTCGCCCGTCTTGCGGCCGAGGAGCGACAGAGGCAGCTAGGGACATTTACGCCAGCGTCTGTTGACGTGGGGCCAGCTGCCCACACGGCCCACACGGCGACACGACGCAGCGGGAGGTGGCTTCGGCAGAGGTTTCGAGTACGGGAGTAGATGTTTAGCAGGGGACGCACGATAGCGGGTTGTCACCGACCGAGGAGCCACGTTTGGAGCCGGCGCAGCCTCCTGCCGCGCAGCTGAGGCCAGAGGAGACATTGCAGGAGGTCGCGGGGGTGCCTCTGCCCGCGGGTTCAGTTGAGGGTGTCGTGCATATGTCCCCGGGTCTGGAGGACATACAGACGGGGCAGTCAGTGGGCGTTGATGATATTCGCCCATTGCCACAGGCGGAGGGGATAGCGCCGGCCACCGGGGGGGACGGGGCCGTAGCGGGGGCCGTTGGTGTTGGCGGGTCGGGGGTGTCGTCCGCGGCCGATCCGATGTCCACGTCTGGCGGCGGAGACCCCACACAGGTGGACAGGCGTGACACGGACGGACAAGAACTTTGGTGGTTCGCACTGCTGTGGGGCCAGTGGTGCCACATCAGGCACCGTTTTTGGAGGGTTATAGGCGTCCTGCACATGGCGGTGGCCCGGTCGAGGAGCGACGTGTAGGCAGAGGCGCGTGCATACCCCCGGTCCCTACTTTTGCGCCGTCACGGACGAGGCCGGAGATTAGGCATGTGGCTACGCCTCGAGACAGCCTCCCTTTTGGTTTTATGACCGCTGAGGAGTTGGAGGACCACGGCAGGAGGGATTTTACGGAGATTGACCAGCGCGTTTTGAGGTCAATCCCGGAGGAGGGGAAGCTGCCTCACGTGTAGGACTTATTATGGGGGCCAGCAAGCCCCAGCTTACCTTCTGGGTGTTCCATCGCAGCGCGATCTGGCGGGGTTGCAGAGGGCTTACCTTCTGGAGGTTCCGTCGCAGCGGCATCGGGCGGGGCCGCAGGGGACTTACCTTCTGGAGGTTCGGTCGCAGCGCCATATGGAGGCGCCGCAGGCCCTTCGTCACCCTTGAGCGCAGCTCCGAGGGAGGGCGGCAGCCTCACCCCGAGGTCGGTTGCCCGTAGACGGAGAGACACTACCCAGCGTGCGCGGGAGTTGCTGGACACCATATTGTTCGGTCGCACAGATCGACCATGGAGCGAAACGAGACGGGTGACAACGGCGAGTGTCGGTCGTCAGCCAGGTTTGAGAGGGGTTTCCACGAGCACGAGACGTCGAGATGTTGTAGCTGCAGGGTTTGGGGGTAGAGGGGGTGGCAGCGGTGGCAGTGCTGGCGACGGTGACGGCAGATGTGAGGGCGTAGGCGGTGCCACGACGAGCGCAGTGGATCCGCCGCGGACGTACGGTTTGAGAGAGGCGTCGATTATTTTGGAGGAGCCTGATGTTGTAACACGACTGAGGCAGGCCCGACACGTGCCCTTAGATTGACGCCAGGAGGGGGAGACTTCAGGGACTGACGGTCTACCTATGGCACGCGAGTCACGTCGACGTGATGACCTAGCAGCAGCAGCCATCAGGACGGTGAGAGGCAGGAGAGTCATTATGGACGACGATCCCGACGAGCTTCCCGTCCCTCCCGAGCCTCCTGCTGGCGGACGCGGCGGCCAGCGTCAGAGAGATCGAGGAGGTCGCAGGGGTCGGTCCCACGGAGGAGTTTCTCATCGGTCCGAGCGAGATCCACGTGCGCACGACGATCGTTGACGGATTACGGACTTGCATTTTCGTGACTTTCTCAATGTACTTTAGTTTTTTGTTATCCATGACAGACGTGGTGTCTCGTGAGGTTGTGTTATAGTCTACTTTCCAGTGGGTACTTTTCTGCGCAGACGTAGTGTTTCGTGATGTTGTATTATAGTGTACTTTCCAGTAGGCACTTGTCTCCGGTTTGCTACTTCGGAGATTGTAGCTTTCCAGTGTATTTTAGTTTGCTTTTTCGTCGGCATTTTGGGGTTGGTACTTCTTTCCACAGACTGGCGGGGCTTCGACACGATGTGTCAGATTTTTGCTATTATCCATGCTATATTGGTTTGTGTTTTGCTTCGATCATTACATCTTGGCATTTGCAATGTTTCTTTTTTAAGACGACGAGTGTTTTGTATGCTTCCAGGCCCCTCATAACCCAAACCCTTCCGTAGCCCCCCCCTGGCCCCCCGCCCCCACCCCTGCGCCTGAACCCCCCAAATCACCTTTGTTTTTTTTTGCTTGCAACCCTTTTTTTTAAATTTCTCTAACCGCTTGTTTTGCGCTATTAAAAAAAATAAAAAGAAAACAAAAATTTTGGAAAAACAAATGAAAGAAAGGTCGCAGTTTGTGTGTGTGTGTGTGTATTTGTTTGTGTAAATGGGTGGCGCAGTTTGGGGGGTTGTACGTGTTGGCGAAAAAAAAAGTGCCCGTGTGTGTGCGACGGTGTGAATTTGTGTGTGCATGTGCGTGTGTGTATGTGTGTGTGTGTCAGTGTGTGTGTGTGTAAATGGGTGGCGTGGTTTGGGGGGTTGTAATTGTGGGAGGGAAAAAAAAAAAAAAAAAAANAAAAATTTCTCTAACCGCTTGTTTTGCGCAAAAAAATAAAAAATAAAAAGAAAAAACAAATTTTGAAAAAAAAAATAACAAAAAGGTCGCAGTTTGTGTGTGTGTGTGAATGTGATTATGTGTGTGTGTATTTGTTTGTGTAAATGGGTGGCGCAGTTAGGGGGGTTGTGCGTGTTCACGAAAAAAAAAGTGCCCGCGACTGGGGCGACGGTGTGAATTTGTGTGTGCATGTGCGTGTGTGTATGTGTGTGTGTGTCAGTGTGTGTGTGTCGAAATGGATGGCGTGGTTTGGGGGGTTGTAATTGTGGGCGGTGGAAAGAAAAAAAAAAAACGTCCCTGGGGCCCGGGGCGGAGGGGAGGTGGCGGGAGTGGGTGGCCCTCCGTTGGGTGGGGGTAGGGGAGTCGGGGCTTGGCAGGTGGCGGTTTCGAGGGTGGGGACCGAAGGGCGGGGGGGGGTATCGGATGGTCCCGGGGGCCGGTTTTCGCACTTTGGTGATTTATTGAACTCGGACCACCACCCCGTAGCCCCAGTCGCGCGCGCGCGCCTCGCGGGACTGCGTTCAATTTTTTCGCGTGCGCGCGCATGCAGCGCATTTAAATGCGATTGAATGCGGGGCGGGGGGGGCTGAACGCGCGCGTTTGAACGTGAACGCGCGTTCACGGCGTTCAACCGGTTACGCAGCCGTCTACCTACAGGTACTGAGCGTCTAAAAACGCCAGCTTTTGTCTTCTCCTGCTCGAACCCCGAGTACCTGGCGCATCTACTTCTACGTAGTGTGATACCGGCCTACCTGTTACTTGAGTGTTATCCGTTACTCTCAAGTGTCACGGGCCTCTACCTCGCCGCTTGAGTATTTTCCCCGCGGCGACCCAGGATGACACAGCCACGGGTAAATACCGGTCGTCGGACTTCCCATTAATCAAGTGCCTTACATGACACCCACACACTCAACTTGACAAGCACTTGGACAGGTACACAGGCTGGCGAGCGTGCGCACATATAGACTTAGAAACAGGCTCAGGCCATTAGGGGGGGTTGAGCCCCGATGTTCTACATATACCTGAGCGGTTCCTTTCCTAACCAAAGTAGGAGCTGGCTTAGTAGGTTTAGGGTGGAGTCCGTTAAGCGATGGATGCAGGGATCGAGTCCACCTAACCCTTGAACGAGCTCCTTTTTACTAGGACCTCTCTTTTTGCATCACCCGACTTCGGCTTGTTGGGGCTTGAACCCGTGACCTCGGGTTTAGCAGCAGTTGGACGTAGAGACTTTAAGTTCCTCCCCGTAACAGAAGCCGACAGTTGGACGTTCGGGGACACACAAAGGTAGTTACAATTAGATTTTCTTTTCATTCTTTAAGTTTTAATTTATTCCGAATAGAACCGGAATTAGGGTACAAATTCGATGCATGATCTTGGGCTCAGATAGGAAGATCAGAAAAGGGTCATCTACACATGTACGTGCCCTAGTGTCGAGGTAGATGTAGCCGTATTGGGCATAGTTGGCTTAGGCCGAGGGTAGAAGAGAGAGTGGCGTGGTTGAACAAGCAGGGGCAGAGGAGGCAAATTATGGTTAGCGAAAGATCAGGCCAAGGACAGCAGCCAGGAAAGAGCAGCAACAGACGTAAGCATTCGCAAGCACGGGAACAAGTGCGAGCGGCTGACAGCGTGTGTGCTAGAAGTAGGTATTGGCGTGAAAAGCAAGCGGTCGGACGAGGGGGCACGAACACATATTGAGCCCTCGCGTGGGAAGGAGACAAGTACGAGAAGAAGAAGAAGAAGAAGAAGAAGAAGAAGAAGAAGAAGAAGAAGAAGAAGAGAAAAAGGAAGGAGAAGAAGAAGGAGAAGGAGGAAGGATTCAGAGGAGGACGGGAAGAGTGACTTACATGCCCGACGATCAGGTTGCGATCGATAAAGGCGACTTTCAAGATGTAAACTTTGGAGATTATGCATCAAAGAGTTCCCTTACCTCATGAGATATCGCTCAACGAGGATCAGAATTTCAAAGAGAGGCACGACTTATCATGGGGAACAATCAGCGGAGGTAGGTCCTTTCTTTTCTTTTTATTATCCATGAATTATCTAAGCCTACTATCATTTTTACTGAAAGATGTCATTCTATAAAAATCTAATCGAATGTGGTTCGATTGGGTGAGAAGAGGGGTAGGAAGAGAAGGTCGCGTGATGGACTGCGTAATATTCTCATCGATGAAATGAATCTAGCGTTGGAACAAGGAGTTATACACTACAACACTTGTGTAAGGGTGCATGCATGTGTGAGATTGTGTGTGTGCGTATATACCGATCACGGATACATGGGAATATACATTGCCACTCTTGTTCATTTGGTTGCGCATACCTGTGTGTGTGTGTGTGTGTATGTGAGTGACGAATTGCGGAGGTTCTACTTCAAGTTCTTTCCAATGATGGGATGAGCAAAATCGAGTAAATCTACCGCTCGAACATAGATGTATACTCTACCATATGTGTGTAACACAGGATTCGTGAAAGCCCAACAAAACTACAAAACCCAACATTTTGTATAGAGTGAAAAAATAGAAGTCGAACTTCTATTTCTGATTTTAAAAAAAACACATTTTCGACCACTTTCCAACAGACAAGGCAAAAAATCAAGTAAACAGTCGAGCGATCCTCAAGATGTGGAAGAACACTCTTTCTTGCAAAGATCCTGTTATAGGACTATAAGTCATTCTCAATGGACTTGAAGAAAAACAGAGCTCAAATAAAACAAACTCAAAAGTTGTAAAAAAACAGTTTTTATGAACTCTGGCATATTGGACTATATGTTGTTTTCAACATTTATAGACTCTATAAACCAATTATGAAGTTAACACTAAAATCTTTGTCAAAAACATATGTTATATAAAATAATAACACAAACAACTTTTGTCTCGGAGACATCTTCAAATTCTTAGTCAAACGCAAGTTAAAAATAAAAAAACAAAAGAAAAAAACAAAAGAAAAAGATAAAAAAAAACATTAAAAAAAAGGAAGTTTGCCAACAGTTGGGAGAATATGTTACGGCGAACGTATTAAGTACTATTAACAAACAAGATAACACATTCACACGTTCGCCAAACCCTCGAACATGTTCGTCGTGATACACAACTTATAGGACTATACACATGATCTTTTAAAATAAAAAAAAACATGGATATTTCAATTTATAAATATACGATGTTTTGCCTAGTAATGATTTACTGTGGAAAATTTTGCTTTTTTCCTCACCACTTCGAGTGGTTCTCAAAAAAAAAAAAAAAAAAAATTTTTTTTACTGTGCAAAGAATCTTGCTCTTCTAGAAGACTTTCATAATCCTAAATAAATTTCGTTCAAACCTGTTGGGTTTTCACAAATCTTATGTTGTGTATGTGCATGTGTGTGTATGCGTGTGTGNTCATCCTCGTGCTTGCCGTTTTCAGGGGGATCTTGGTTGTAATGGTGTCCCAAACGCTGACTGGTCTCCCCCTCCGATTAGGTGAACTGGCCAGGTACGCCCACACCTGGAGAAAGAGAAGGCACAGTGTGTGTGTGTGTGTGTGTGTGTGTGTGTGTGTGTGTGTGTGTGTGTGTGTGTGTGTGTGTGAGAGAGAGAGAGAGAGAGAGAGAGAGAGAGTGAGAGAGAGAGAGAGAAGGATGATAATGATGATAATGTGAGGACACATATCTGATATTGGTGATGGTCTGCATTGGTCGGACACCTTCAGGAACTCCATTAACTACCGGCCTCAAGTTGCCGTCAACAGTTGCATTGTCAATTAGTAGGTAGGAAGTAGCCATGTAGGAAGTAGGATGGGCGCTGAGCGCCAAGTAGGGAGAAGGACCTGGACACGTATGTTGGTGGTGGCGATAGCAAGCGCTCGTTGACATTCAAACCTTAGTGTTATGATTCTCTATTAGTGTTATATTGGTGCATTGCTGCTTCCTGGCACTGTGATACTTTCATGCATTCAATATGATTGTGCATTCTAGAGATTGTCACCTCGCTATTGCTCATTCCCCTTACGCACTATTTGAATTTATTATTACTATTATTACTATTATTATTATTATTATTATACTATTATTATTATTATTATCATTATTATTATTATTATTATTATTAAAGACCACGGAGGAAAAGAACACGATCATGGGGGGGGACAAAAGAA